TTTTTTACTTTCTTTTTTTCCCCTTATTGTTCGCTTCAATAATTTTTTTTTTTCTCTTAGGTTGATGATTTTCTTCACGCTCTTCATACTTATTTTCTGTACTTTCATCTTCATCTAAGTTAATAATTTCTTTATCTTCGTAATTTGATTGTTTTTTTTTTTTATTTTCTTGAGTGCCCGAATTGATAAAGTTCATTTGACAATTTTCTTTTGTTTCATGAGGCGGATTGGCAAAGTTCGTTTAACAATTTTTTTTTGTTTTACGAGATGGACTACTTTTTGTATTATTACTAACTTCCAGGTCTTCAAAAGTAGCACTAATATTATATTTAACTGAAGTCATAGGTTCTTGGTTTCGAGATTCAATATCATCAGCAATGATGTTAATAATTAATCTAGTGCCAGATAGTGTTGAAGAAGAACTTTCAAGCATAGTATTATTTAAGGTTGTTAAATGATCAATTTCAGTTGCCTCTACTATAATTTTTCCCGATTTTGAAAACTTGATAAGCCCAGAAATAAGGTATGTATTATCTAATTTAATATAAGATCCGAAAGGACCTAAATATTTTTCAAACCTTTTTGATTGAGAGTGATAAAGGACAGTTACTTGCATTTTAATATTAGCTGTATTAGTAACTAGATTATACTCAAGACATTCTACTCCAAAATGAATAAAACTTTCAACTTTTTTTGAAACACGAGTTACGGATGCTAAAAACATAAAATAGGGTATATACGGGGGAATATTGATAATATTAAATTCGTGACTAAAATTTCTAGTACTGGAAATGCTTGCATATCCAACAGTAAGACACTGATCAGAATTTTCAATAACATATTTTCCAGAAAAAAATACAATATTGCCGGTTGTAATTACTTGTGGTGGTTCATTTATAGAAAAAAAATATTTCTATCGAATTATTTGAAATGTTTTATTTGGAAGTTTATATTTAGCAGAACCTTGTAAACATAGATGACTACTTTTCACGTTGGTAATAACGACAATAAGAGCTATATGAGTAGGCATTTTTTTTTAATACTTGAATATACGTATAATTATAATAAGAAAAGAATAAATTATTTTGTTGAAAATGTATTTATATTATTTTAGCATGTTCAGACTCATGCAAATTAAAACGAAATAAAAAAATTTTCGATTATGATATCTGTATAATTAAGGTGAAACCAACAAGATTCTGTTTTATATTACTCCCCTTAATATTTCCCTCTCCCTTATAGTAAAAAAATTTACATAGGGCTATGAGATATTTTGGGAAAATTTTATACAGTCACAGAACAATTCAGAAAAATTTTTTTTTGAAAAAAAAAAATTTTAAATTTTGCTATATAAACTATAAATTCTTTCCCTCCCTCTTCTTTTCCAAAGGGGAGAGAAAATAAAGTAAAATACAGAATCCAGTTTGTTTTGCCTAAAATTAGAGATTAACAAATAATGATAACAATAACTAGCAATTATTGAAATACCACACCACATTGTTTAATAAATACAAGTCAAATTTAAATCAAAAAAGTTATATATTATATGCATATTGCATTAGTTACATCAAAAAAATAAATTTACCATGCATTTTATATTAGCTAAATATAGTGGATATGTACAGAAAAACCTCTATAAGTGCACACACTTGAAACCAAGCTTTAATAATATGCGATCAATAAGAGAAAGTGCATTTATATATATATTTGGCCCAGAACTTGAGCATGTATTTAGAGAAGTGTACTTATAGAGAGTGCATTTATTGAGATTTTACTGTGTAATTTCTTATTTTCTTATAATCCCAGATTATTAACCTGTGATTCGATCAATAGTGCACGTGATCACGAGACCACAATTTTGAATATGAATGATATAAAAAATATGAAATCTTCCAAAGTATAATAAGTGTTCGATATATATATATATTTTTTATGCTACTAATATTAAAGTTTAGTATTAAATATCTTACACATACATATATAGAAGGTATTTGAGCAATATTATTAATTATTTAATACTTCACTATGATCAGTTTATAAATAAATCAATTATTTTATGGTATTTTTAAATGATAAAATAATTGAACTATTTCATAAATCTGAGATAGTAAAGCATAAAATAAAACCGTTATTGCATGCTCTGTATGCACTAACTGCTGTATTTTATGTTCTCTTCTGATCGTTCGGTTACCAACCAATCATCATCGTCCATAAAATACAGCAGTTATTGCATACGAAGTATGCAATAACTATATATTATGCTTCAATATACAGTACGTACTTCAATTAAAGTGTTTAGACTTATGTGATTTTAGAAAATTTTCGTTGTTCAAACAATGAAAATCTCTAAAATCACATAGATTTGTATGTTTTTAGCTTCAATAAATATATTAGAACACTGTATAGTGTATTAAAAAAAACTCTTAATTTAGCTTGAGGAGAGAACTATACAAGAAGAAAATGCTATATTTAATATAAATGGGATACTAAAGTATTGAAATGACAGTGGCATTTATTAATAATACTGGCGCCTAAATCTTTTGCATATAGTATATGCATAAAGAGGTTATAAGAGTTAAAAACAGATAATACTTAATTGTTGTATTCAATAATACTGTCCAATATGAAAATATCAAGCAATATTTTGTATTGCCTTGAATCAAACACGGGTATATAGTAATTGCTTGTTTAAGGAGAGCAGGTTTTTTCTTAAAAAAGTTCATTTCTGTTTTTTCTGCTAACCTAACTTTGACTAGTGTCATTGTGAAATACAGTATGTGATAAACAGGTATGAGTATAAGAGAATAAGCAATCGTTCGATTAATGACTTGTGCATATGATGCACATGATCGATCAGGAATTAGGGAATCAAGTAATGATCAATTATGTAGTCGAAGTATTATACATAAAATATGAAGCAATTTATGAGTAATATAAGAGTCAAATGATCGTATGATCATATATGAGCAAATTATGATATAAGTAATGTGACCTGAAGTATGTATATAGCTGAAGCAATTGTAATAATAGTCTTGGTTAGTAAGTTTCGCTTGTAATAAATTAAACCCTTAATAAATAAAGTTTATTTGAGTAATAAAGTAAATACTTGTCTTGTTGAGTTTGTTCGCTTGGTGCCTAATTATTAGTGCCTACTATCAGAGTTAGGTTTTTCTTTGATGAAAGTCATTGATTAACCCGTGACACTAGTTTTTTTATCCACCCTTATACATGATCTTGCAGTAGCTTAGGTTGATAGCCTGTCATTAAAATAAAAGTGGTCTGTCAAGATAACAGTCATAAAGTTTTATTATTATTAGTGTATATAGCCTGTCAGGACAACAGCTACAAAGAAATTCCTTATATTTGTGTATATAGATGTGTCCTGTTAGAATTATAGTCGTGAAAAAAGTTTTTTGTATTTGTGTTATAGTACTTACTTCTTTTAGTCTTGATTAGCATCAATCAATTAAATGAGAACTAAAAACCTTTACCAGATAGAATTGTCTGGTTTTTTTTTGTCTTACTCTTTGAAGTAGACAATAGCATTAAAAGATTATTAGATTCTAGGCCAGTTAATTAATACTTTCGAATTCTACACTGTTAGCACATATTGCATAAAAGTAGAAGGGACAGAATATCTATTGAAGTACAGAACACCAAATCAAAAAGAACACTTAGCCAAGATGCTCGAGTTTTAGAGTAATATAGTTATTCTTATTTATAAAAAAAGAAGTGAATAACATAGCAAGATAAAGTAAAGTTAAAGTAAGACTTACTCGAAGTACTCCAAGAACAAACCGGTCAAACCAAGATACATGCATATTTGTGAAAACAGCCATCACAGTTTTAAGCAAGCATCCAATAGTTTGTAATGAAAATAGCTTAACAAGAATTAAATTAAAGATAAAATTAGTCAAATTGAAAAAAATAAATTCCAAACAATAAAGCTTACTTCAGAAAATGGTCTGAGAAATGACTGAAAAATCTAAAAAGAGATTAGAGATTATTTGTGAAATATACTAAATAAAGCCAAAAAAATAAAAAAAAGCTAATTAATAATACAAAAAAAGAAAAACTTGCTAGCTAGACTTATATGACTTTAGGGATTTTTCATTGTTTAAACAATGAAAATCCTTGAAATCATAAGTTTGATACTCTAATACTTGCTCAAATTTTTCTGCATCTTCATTGTTGGCTGAGCCTTGGTTTAGATCATGCAATTGTATTTTAGATACATAAAATGTGTGGTAAATTATCTTTTGATATAACTAGTATGATATTTGCATCTTTTTAATGCATCAAATAAGACACTTAAGATAATAAACTGCAGGCTAAGAAAATGAATAGGTATTTTTAGTCCTTATAGGGCTGCTTAATTGCTTTGGGTAATAATCATAAATTTAATATTAAATTATGTATACAGTATATACGTACGTATTAAATAAGCCCTCTATTTAATATCTGTTACAAAATTTAGCTCTGCCGTCTTGCTTGAATCAAGCAAGTAATATTGTATCCTTTTTTTTGTTATAAAATGATGTTTTAAAATTCAATAGAGATTTGGT